CGCCCAGCGGCCAACCGCCCCCAGGCCTCGCGCAGCACCACGGACTCCCGGCCTTGACGCCGTCAGAAGGTGGGCCAATGAACGGACCGGGAAAAGGCGGAACCCTCTGCAGGACCGCCCAGGCACCTACTCCGAGCCAGTCGAGTCACGAGACTTGGTGGAGGACGGAACTAATCTGACGTACGTCCAATCCGGAACTTGAGGGCGGTTACAAATTACCCACTCCCCGAGTTTGACTCCGCCCCCGCCCTGACGTGCACTTTTCCACCAATCAACGACTAAGCCTGCGGAGGGGTGAGGGGAAGGGGGCGAAGAGTGGGAGGAGGCAGAGAGAGGAAGGAGGCGTAGGCTGAGGAAGAGGGAGGGGGGTAGGGAAGTCCTGGCGGAGAAGAGGCCCAAGACTCCAAGGGAGACAGCAAGAGGGTGCGCTGGAGCTCCCCCGCTGACCAACGGCTGTTTCGGATCCCTTAAGGAGCGCGTCATACAGAGACGAAGAAAGGAGGAAGAGACTTTTATGTCGGCAGACAGAGAAGCTCTACCCGTCACTGTTGCCTCACATCCGGGGCTTTGGAGGGCTGGCCCCCGCGGCCCCGCCCCCCCCTCGCGCCTTTCATGGCGACTGGAGGCGGAGGCTGGAAGAGCTGGGACTGGAGGAGGCCCCTTTAAATCTCCTTAAAGGGGTGGCCACTGAGTTCGGCAGACTACAACGCCAGCCTTAAAGGGAAAGCCGCCGAACAGGAGCTGACAAATTGAAAACTGCTGTTGGGAGAATTGGAGCGAGTGAGGATTCTTACCTCCTCTTCCTCCCCACTCCAGAAAGTCCTTTAAATTCAGCGTAAAGGGGAAGTGGCCGCTTGTGGAGGACTGGAAACAAACTCTCGAGCCTTTCAAGCGGCGGCCTGCTGTTTTGAGGACCCAGGACTCCTTAAAGGGGTGGCCTCTTTTAGCCGGAGGACTTGAGACACTTTTAAAGGGGAGGTCTGCGTTTCGGGGAGAGCTTTCGGTCCCTTTTAAAGGGGTGGCCCTTCCTCTTCTTTGGGGAGACTAGTCTCGACCCCCTGGCAAGGGGCGGCCACCGCACTAGGCCGGCCGGACACCGTCTGGTCGTCTTAAAGGGGCTAGGGGCTGGACAACTTGAGATTTCGCCTTAAAGGGACGGCCGCCCCGTTTTCGCCGTCTTGGCCCTGCCGGCCCCACTGGGGGGGTGGGGACCCTCGGGCCT